TGATTTGCTTAACAACTGTGGGCAAGAAAGGTTGTCAAATGGGGCAAAATTCACTTAACAACTTTCAGAAATGTTGGACTCCATTGTGGTCCTAAATCGAGGGTTATCGGTATTCATTGGATATATATTCTTTTTTTCCAACCAACTTTGAGTACTCCAGGCCATTATTTTGCCATCCTTTCTTTATAAAAACCATTCCTACGGCCAGCTAAACTAGTAAAATTTAGTTTGATAAATACTCGCTGGCTCCCTACATTGTTTTCTAAATATTCCCAATCTAACGCCTTCATAATATGAGTTTTGCCTGGTAACATCCAGTGAACCAGGACTATATAGTCCTATATAGTCCTATATAGTCAGCTGGCTCTCCCCCCCCCCCCCCCCCCCCCCCTGTTGAAAATAAGAATAACATTTGCCCCAGTCTAATCCTCGGATGCTATGCCCACTCCCAGGATTTCCCCCAAAACACAGCGATGAGCTCTTAGATGTTACATGGCCTGTCCTGGAGACATAAAAGCCACCCCTGCTAGCCAAGCAGCCCTTAATCCTCTATTTATTTACTAACTAGAGGTTGCCCTCCCTTCCTTAGATCAACTGTTCAGCTGAAGTTAAGGTCCTCCTTGGAGAGAAAACCGAGGCAGAGATGCGATTGAAAAGCTCCCAAAGGTGCTTTTTCAAGGGGCAACTCTTTCTTGTTTTTTTCTTTTGAAGATGTTTCGCTTCTCATCCAAGAAGCTTCTTCATCTCTGGCAGAATGGTGGGGAAGGGAAGGATTTGCCTATCCTATTATTTATCCACTATCCTGCCAGAGTCGAAGAAGCTTCTTGGATGAGAAGTGAAACCTCTTCAAAAGAAAAAAACAAGGAAGTCCAGTTGCTTCTTGAAAAAGCACCTTCGGGACAACACCATGACCTGGATGACTGAGAATCTCTACAGGCTGAAAAGCTCTTGTTTTTCATCATCCTTTTCCTCTCCTTCCATCTCCTCTGAGCAGCCTTCCCCCCTCCTTCCTTTTCCTTCTGAGAGAGCCAAACTCTCCCCCCCCCCCACACACACACAGACACTTTTCAGGTTCCTTTCTAAGTCCATTTATACTTCACTCTAACACATCCCTACTTATGCCTTGTATGCCATCTCCCTCCATGCTCAGTCCTTGTGCTTGAGTGGTCTCAGCAATATAATCATAGTAACACCACCTCCCTAGAGGCAGGCCACTAAGAAGCCATGATAAAACATGATCAAAGGACTGAGGGTAGTTTTTGTTTTTTTCATAAGACCAAAATGTAAATGTTTGCATTTATTATTTGCTTCTACAGAGAGATCAGTGGCTGAAGACTCAGAGTGGTAAGCATTACGAACAAGGAAGCCTAACGCACTGTTGGATAATGAGGGCCCAACAGATTCATTCTACCAAGTTATGGAACCGTTGTCTAATTTACAAGTTGGTTTTTTTTTTTTAATATCCCCTTGGATTTGTAGGAGTTACGTTCGAGTTGCTGCTTTCATCCCAGTAAATAACAGAGACCCAATAAATAATAGAGAACGGATTGTAGAATGGAAAGGTCACCAACAAGGGGGCCCTGCCACCCGCAACACCAATTTGTCACAAAGGACTGCTAAATACAGTAGACTGCTGATATTTTTTTTTCTTTTAAATTCTGACAGCAGGTCTTCTTCCATAATACGGAACAACGGATGCCATCCATAACCCAACAACCCAAGAAAAGAAGGGAGACTACAACGCTATAGATCAACTTCCCGTTAAGTCTACAGGATCGGTCTAATTCCTTAACGCAGAAAATTATTGACGGAAGGTCCACCATTAAATCAAAGGCACAACTGCGAAGGGACGTTTAAGGAGCAATCCATTTTTCCTCTTAGGAAGAGTCCCCCATATGTGGGGCTGCCAGTCACAGGGGGCAGTTAAAGCCACCTAGGAAGAGCCCATCAATTTACAGATAATTAAATCAACGTGTTGTCTGGCACATCAACGTTACTGTGCGTATCTATATTTATATATACGCCCAGACATACAAATCAAGGCTCTAGCCTTCCACGGGGCTGTGATCGGAAAAGCTACTCTGGTGACTTCTGTAGACATCAACCAAACAACAAATCGATAAAACCAACAAAATGCACAGGCGCAATTTCTGTAAGTTAACGTGTATTATAAAAAAAAAAGACAGAAAAAAAGGAGAGAATGTCACTGCCCATCCGTGACAGTAACACCAATACTGCAGACAGTTAAATAATAAAGAAGCACTTCTCACAATACAGGTAGTCCTCAACTTGCAATCATTCATTTAGTGACCATTCGAAGTTACAACACCCCTGAAAAAAGTGGCTTATGATCATTTTTCACACCGTCGACTTATGCAGCCTTCCCCGTGGTCATGTGATCAAAATTTACCAAGTGACTCATATTTATGTCAGATTGCAGTGACCCAGGGTCATGTGATTTCCTTTTGCGGCCATCTGACAAGCAAAGTCAAAAGAAAGCCACATTCACTTAACCACTGTGTTATTAACAAGTGCAGTGTTTCACTTAACAACTATGGCAAGGGAGGTCATAAGATGGGGGTAAACTCACAACGACCGCCTCGCTTAGCCACAGAAATTTTGGGCTCAGTTGGGGTCGTAAGTCGAGCTGTAGTTAGGTCAGCCTTTCCTACGGTGATGGGGACACAACTCAGAATTCCCAGCAGCCCTTGGGCCTAAAATGAACCAAAGTACAAACCCAATGAGACAGAAAACTATTTTGCTTCTCACGAAGTTTACTTTATCCTTAAAACTAGAAGCGAGAGAATAAATAAACGTCCCTGCTAAATATCTGCAGGGAAGACGCCTATATAATATTTAATATCCTTAGTGGAACTACCAGATGTCTCTTTTAACAATGCCTAAACAAGTTTCAATTAACTTCCCTTTTGCACCCTTTTCATACGCAAAATAGTTACCCAAACATGCAATTTGAAAATTGCGGCCTTTAAAAGTTTTAGAAGGGTTTTTTATTTTCATGATCACTTTGTTTTTTTTTTTTTTTATGTGACGTTTGGCCTGGTGTTGCCCATTTGGCTCTGAACCTCTGAATCTTTCCTTTTGGCATGGTCATTTGCTCTAAACAGCAGATGGGCTTTCCTTCTGACTCCCAATGGCCCACAGGATGGATGGATACACACAGACACACACACACACACACACACACACACACGTGTGTTAGGCCTTCTATACCTGTACAGAAGGTAGGCTTTTATTCCTTTTTATCTGTTGTTTGGATTTTGAAACTCTTCCTCTAGGGTCACTGCAAACTCTTGGCCACAGGCCTTACATTTCCAGACCTGGCAAGGAAAAGCTGCCCGTAATAGGTTGGACAGCCAGCCTAGGTCAAGGGAAGTCTGGCCAAGTTCAGGAGGGCACTGCCGCGTAAGATCCCTCTTGTTAAAACCACTGGTTCATCCCTCACAATTCCTGTGGATTATCAGACTGCATCCCCATAATAAGTGGGATCTTTCCAGCCCTGTCATGTGAGATCTTTCTTTTTCCCTGCCATGTGATGGGAGCTATCCCCACCATGGGCTCAGGAATTGCTGCCCCCAAACAGTGGGGGGAGGGGGGGGGGCCATGATGATCCTCTCCACCTCCCCTCCCTCAAACACTGCCTCAGCCCCCATCCCCTCCCTCCTATAGGATGGCAAAACAGGTCCTTGAAGGGCCTGGCTCTCCTATCCCCTCAGCACTCCTTTATACACCCCCAAGTGACCCCCTTTCCCCCCCCACCTCACAATGGGAGTCCTCTCCACCGAGAGACGGGCCACAAAACACTGTGAAGGGGGCAATGACCCCTTCAAACCCCCCTCCCTCAAAGACAGCCTCACTCCCCTGAAATCCCTCCTTCCTTTGGGGTGTCAAACCAGGCCTCTCAAGTGCTCAAGTCACCCCAGCACCCCGCTTTTCTACTTATGCATCTCCAAGTCACCCCTCTTTCCCCCATCCCACGATGGGTGCCATCTCCAAATGGGCCCCTTCCTTCAGACACCACTCAGCCCCCATCCCCTAGCAAGAACACCCCTCACCGGCCTATTCTGCACCCCCCCACAAAGTGCCCAGCCGTCTCGGCCTCCTTTTCTACTTATACACTGTGACCCCTGGGTTCCCCCCTCCCCCATCTCTCAATGGGAACCCTCCCTACCAGGAAATGGACCCCCAGACAGACACCCCCAAGCTACTTTTCCTCCATCCCTCAATGGAGAGGGACACCCCGGACACCGTGAGGAGGGAGGGGCGCAATGATCCCCTCTCCCTCTTTCCTCTCCCCTTCCTCACCATCACCTTGGGGGGGTGGGGGGTGGGGTGGCAATGATCCCCTCCCGCTTCCCCTCCCCCACAGACTCCAAGGGCAATGGGCCCCCTCACCCCTTCCTGACAGACCCCTTGCGGGGAGGGGGCAATGGTCCCCTTTCTCTCCCGCTTTCCCCTCCTTCACAGACATCCTCCCCTCCCTCCTCAGGCGGAGCCAAGCCCCGAGGCGGACCTGAGGAGAGCTTTCTTCCCGCCGCGCCTGGGAGGGGCGACTGGCTGGCCTCACAAGGTCCCCAGCCCCATATAGGAGTGGGAGAGGGGGGGCAGAGCGAGACACACACACACACACACACACACACACACACAGAGAGAGAGAGAGAGAGAGAGAGAGGGAGAGACGGGCGCGCGCGGGGGCGGGGGGGGGGGGGGGTGAGGAGGGAGGGGGGGGGGGGGGGGGGGGGGGGGGGGGGGTTCGCGCGCGGGGGGTCCCTCAGCGCTGGGCGCGCGGGCATCCCGTCCGGCCCCGCGGCGTTCGAAAGCCGTTGCTTGTTTACCAACAACGGCCCCGCCCCCCGCCCCCCTCCCTCTCTCTCTCTCTCTCTCTCTCTCGCGACGGGGGGGGGGGGGGGCCCGCTCCCCCCCCCCCCCGGGGGGAAGGGGGGGGGGGGGGGCGCTCTCGAAATGGCCGTTTGTTTATTTACCTGGCGGCGCCTGGGTCCCTCCGGCGGCCGGCGTGGAGGAGGAGGAGGAGGCGGCGGCGGGGGTCAGCGGGGCAGCCTCCGCCTGCGCTGAGGCGGCTGCTGCTGCTGCTGAGGCGGCGGCGGCGGCGGGCGGGAAGATGTCGCCCGGGCTGTCGTTCCTTGCGGCGGCGGCGGCGGCGGTTTCTTCGTCGTCCTCTTCTTCTTCTTCTTCCTCCTCCTCTTCCTCCTCCTCCTCTTCTTCGTCTTCCTCCCCCTCCGGCTCGGACACCACCATCTCCTCCTCCTCTTCCTCGTCCTCCCTCAGAGGGGAAGCCATGGTGGTGGTGCCGGAGGAGGGGGTGGCCGATGGGTGGGGGAACACCCGAGCCGAGCTGACGGGAGGGGTGGGGGCGGCGGCGGCGGCCCCCCTTCCCCGCCTCTCGCGCTCCCTCCCTCCCTCCCTCCTTCCCTCAAAAGCGACCCCCCTCAAACCATTCCCCCACCCTAAAAAAAAATCGCCCCCCAAAAGGGGGCGGTGGGCGTATGGGAGATGTTTGGGGAGGGGGGCGCGAGGAGAAGTCCCATGCGATGGCCGGGACTCTTCTTCTTCTTCTTCTTCTTTCCTTCACAACTTTTCTTCTTCTTCTTCTTCAAGGTTTCTTCCTCGGACCCCCCTCTTGGGAAGAAAAAAAAAATTAAAATGGGGGGGTTGGGGGGGGTGCGCAAGGGGAAGGAAAGAATTTAAAAAAAAAAATGAGTCCCTCAGTTCTGAGGTGGGGAGTAGTTGAGAATCATATTTTGCCACCCGAGCAAAAAAGCAACAAAAATGGCCGCCTCTAAATTATTTTTTTTTTTAAAGCGCCCCCCCCCCCGGGAAAAAAAAAAAACCCCCCCCCCCCCATGAAAAAAAAGAAGGGGGAGGAAAAAATATTTACCCAAAATGGCTGGCTTAATTTTAACCCCCTCTTCCTTAGGTTTCCAAAAAAAAAGAGAGAGAGAAATGCCCCCCCTTTCCAAAAAATAAAAAATAAAAATATTAAAAAATGCAACCAGAATCAGCTCCAAATTTAAAAAAAAAACGAAAAGACCACAAAAAAAAAAAAAATTACCCAAGAAAAATGGGGGGAAAAAAAAGAAAAAGATAATCAGGATCAAGGCAGGTTTTTTTTTCCCCCCCCCTCTCTCTCTCTCTTCTTGCTTGTGGTGATATTTTCTTTTCAATCGCCCAAGATCTGTGGTCATGAACAATATTTAGACATTCCTGGCACTGGGGGGAACCTGACAAGATTTCTGCATAAAACAAAGATGGCTGCTCTAAATTATTTCTTTCTTTTCTTTTTTCTTTTTTTTTTCCCTCCTCTCCTTAGGCTCTCCCCCCCCCCTCCCTGCCTCCCTCAATAAAAATATTTTTTACGGGGAGGGGGAAGAGAGAGAGAGAGAGAGAGAGAGAGAAAAGGTTGGATTAATCAGTACTCATGCTCAGTTATGACATCAGCATAAAATTGTTAAAGGTTAACTAGTTCCATACTAGTCAGACCCACAACTTTGGTGTATGCTTATGGTTGCTTTACTAGCACAAGAGGGAGAAAAAAAATAGGGGTGTTTTATTTCCTCCCCCCTTTCTCTCTCTCTCTCTCTCTAACTTTAAATACTTCAAAAGGGAGTGGCTTATTTTTCTCCTTTTCCTCTAGGGCAAGAAAGGAAGAAGAGAAGAAAAAAAAAAAACCCCTCCCTGATTACTGCAATTCATTAAAAGATTTTTTTTTGTCTACATTCACAAAGGAGATTTTATTGTTTCCCCAGATGAGATTCTTTTGATACGGGCAGGCAGACACAAATATGTATGCATATGATTTTGGTCAGGTTTTGCATTTAAAAGAGGCTATATTAAATTTAATAAAAAAAATTGAAAGCTAGATTTTGGCTACACTTTAAATATGTTAGATTTGCCCCGCAGGAATAAATTATAAGACATAATTAAATTAATGTGATAAAATATCTACTACAAATTATTTTTTTTCACTGGCTGGGAAAAATTTTCAGCCAGATTTGGGGGTGATCATGGCACATCCGGTAAGACATTGATGCACTTAAATTATTGTGTGTGACTTTAAAAGAGTGTCTAAAATTAAACTGTACTTTTGCCTCCAAGGTAAGGTTCCCTCCCCCCCCACCCCCACCCCCAAAAAAGCACCTTGTTTCTAATGCATTTCTTGTTAGGGCTGTTTTGTAATAATGTTGTTGCACTATGGCTGAAAACCATTTACCCTATTTTTATGGCAGGGGAAACAACTAAAACCCATTCAGTTAAGATGGAGACAAAATGAGTTAACAATAGGAAGGCAGCTTCATTGTTACTGTCAAACCTAAATAGATGTATGTTTGAGGTTAAAATGCATTTTACATCTTCCTCTTTACCTGCTAACAGACACATCTATGATAAGAATCTACCCACCAACCTAACAAAAAAGTTGTAAAGGGCCTACACCTCTTCCTGTCTGGCTCTTGGGTTGTAGCGCATGGAAAACTGCCTGCATTATCTGAGAATTTGCCCTGGGCCACTGCGTATAAGTAAGTACCATCCTTAACAAAAGAAAATGGAAGAAACGGGCTGCCCCTAAGTCTCTAGCGGCATGCTGCTGCACACCACCAGATAAACAAATCCCAAGGGGACAGCGACCTTACCACGTTCCTGGAAGGAACATAAAGCCATTGATCAACTCTACCCACCCACTGGGATTTACTTCTGAGTAAACCCTGAACTATAAAGCATTTTCAGTGAGCAAGCTTTGGGTCAACCTTATCTTCGGAGTGAAATGTGGCTAGGGGGTCTGATCCTGCCAAATGTACCATCTTAAATGAATAGGCCCATCTCTGTGTTACAGAAACCTATAATTCAAATACATTTGTGGAGCACAAACAGTGCAAACTTCGCTATGGTCTCCCTAGTTGAATCTGTTTCACACAAGTCATTTAAAAACTTAAAAAGTAATTTAAGATGCCTGTGTTGTTCTGTAGTCTTTCGGAAAAGTAAAATTCAAATTATTGCTGGGTCCACGTGTCACTTTTAACGATAGGTCAGTTGGCCACATTTTAGCTTGACATGGATTAATCCAACCCTCTGTGGTTAGTTTGCTACACCAACCCCAAAAAATTGCACTCATTGAGTAAACCAGGGCAAGCCTATTGTGCAAACACAGCCGAGTGATCCTACTATTATTAGCATCAGGTTTCTGCGAAGTGCACATTGGTGTTAATGTTTAAAATTTGCTTTAATAGCCTTTGTCACAGGGCCCCTTGTCCACGCCTCTCTGGTTCTTGGACTCCCAGCTAGAAAAAGAAAACATTCCGATGCTGGATACAGATGTTATAGAATAATCATCTACAAGCACAATGTTCCTTCACTCGGGGTAATCCCATTTAAAATGGTGAGTCTTAGAATAATAAATCTGGAAACAATGAGGCTTATTCAAAGTATTCCAACTTTACTGAAACTGGACCACAGAGCAAGAGTCCTGTTTCAACACACAGTGTTATTTTGCAGTATCCTGGACGCGGTGACAAAAATGTACCCCAAATTTTACTCTCGAGGACTATGCATTTGCCGATTTTCTCTATCTGAAATTTTCTAAAAGTTCAAAATGAGGCCAAATAGCCCAGAAAAGAAAATGTTGCCGGTATCAGTACAGCGTTTTTATATGCCTATTTAAATTCCTGCCATAGCACCCTTCATAGTATCCAGAAATGACATAGTAAGTGACAGTTGGGACCCTCACTTCAAGCAGTTGGCTGGGATGGGAAGAGCCTCTTTACGGGACAAGAAAGGAGGACCGTATAAATATCACAGTGCAACCTTTTCTTGTCTCCTTTTATGACTCTTCGAGCTTAGTCTAAGCTTTTCCCCCCCTGTAGACCGGTTATAAATGTCCACAGAGGAGTAACTGTGCCCGCAGGAGACACTGTTTGCCAAATGAATGTTATTCCCCATGTGGCTTTTACATTTAACGCAACACCCTCTGAAGCCCTCCAGGAGCCAGTGGGCGCCAATCCCATTCATTCATGTTGAAACATTTCCCTGGCAATGCTGGAAGCCAGTGCTCCAGAAGAGCCTTTGAGGTTTCACGCTATCAAAGTCTTTGACTGAGAAATGTGCTTTCTAGCATACGTACCATCACTCCCCTTCCTAATGGAAGGAGAGGGAGCCTGACTCGGCACAGCAGCCTCTGTATTTGAGGGTTTACCAGCTCTGAGCATCAAAGCCTGAACGTAATTTTCTGAACCCGGCCCAAATACTTAGGTTCTCATCGTCCGAGGCAGGAGATGGGAAGAGAGAAAACATCCTTCCCTACATGTCCAGCTTTGGAGCCTCTTTGCAAGGCCCAGAATGTCAGGGGTTCCATCAAGGGACCCGCGGCATGGCATTTAGGAAGCCCCCATCCTCTTTATTTCACCCGTTGATCCCCACCACACTGCCCCTTGGCTGGCTTTCAAAACAGCCCAAAGACGCACCCCTCTGCACACCGCAGGCCCGCCCTTCCCTTCAGGGAATTGCTGCTGCCCCGTGGTGACTAGGGGGCTGTTTAAAGGCCTTCCCCTGGTGGTTGCTTAAGCGTGCAAGGAGAACCGGGTGGAATGGGACACACTTGGAGCACGAAAGATCAAGTTGAGAGCAGCAGTCCCTTGTCACAAACGCACCCACCCGTGAGGTCGGCACCTTCTGCCAGATTTTATCCTCCAGGTCCAGACCTCTTGGCCCGATCCACGAAAACTTGCCACAACTTTCCAGCGGCCTGTGAAGGTCGGGTGTTAAGCGCGCTAAACGCTCCCGCCAGGCCTTCTGCAGCCGGTGATTCCAGGTCACGCTCTCCGGAGCCTACTTGGCTTAACAGCTTGGTTGGAGAAGCTGCCTCTACCGCAGCCTTGCAGGCCTCGTCCGTCTTAAGCTGCCTGTACAATTGCATCCGAAATACCCGAGCAATTCCTGATCCCTCAATTGCCACGGCCAGCAGGCTTCCTAAGCCCGGGCGCTCTGTGGTTATTAAGCAGCTGGTAAAAATATCATCGTTTCTTCCTGTAACAGGCTTCTTGGCCGAACGTTTGCCTACTCCTGATTAGCTTACGACTTACTTTTCTTTTAATAATAATAATAATAATGACAAAAACTGCTACAATCCTTTTGGAAGACCGGCTTTCCCCCAGTGGGAGAAAAGGGCAGAAGTGTGGGGTGGTGGGTAGGGGGAGGAAAAAGAGCCAGCCCCAGCCAGTGCTTCTCTTGTGCAAAGCAGCTGTTAGATGGAAGGAAGAAGAGTTTGCTAGGGTTAAAAGGCAGGAGCAGGTGGGAGGAGAGGCAGCCCAGCACTGGAAAGGGCGGGGGCGGGGCGGGGTGCAGAAAGCAGGTTGCAAGCTTTCTTAGGAGGGGTGATGGTTGCCTCCCCTCCCCTCACCCAAAAGAGTCTGGAGGATGGATGGCAACAATCCCATCTGTTCTCTGTACAAGTGAAAATCTCCCTGGGGGTGATGGGGCCTGCCAGAACTGTAGATAATATTCGACCTTCAAGTCTCATTTCACAACCCACACATAGGATTTCTCTCTCCCCACCCCCCACCCTCCCTTTCC